TTATTTTTTTGCTCTTGTTATTAGAGTGGTGTTTAATCTGTTTACACACTTGTTTTAGTGAAGATTAAGTGCAATGATCATGTTGTTYTGGACACAGTCAGTAAAATTGGAGCTGTGGACTCTTAACTTTGAACAGTTGGACATTGGACAATAATGTGGGGTTTTGTTTTGTCCCCACCTTCAGTTTTTCCCACCATAAAGCAGCACCAGGCTGACAGATAGTTAAAAAAATAACTGTAGTGATTTTGAATTGTTATTTTACACTTTAAATGTACATTTTGTTTTTATGTTTTATTTTTCAGGGTCTTCTCATTTATTTTATTTAGTTTATTAAATTRCAGAATGTTCTTCAGTTTACAATGTATGTGATCCATTGGTTAAATAAATGGGTCAATTTTTCTCATACCTACTCTTTTTCACTGTTTGACTTGATCAAGACTTTTCTAAGATTTCCCACTACAAAATAGGTAAAAGTGTGTGATTCCTATTGATATGGTATCAGGTCAATATCGGTATCGGCCAATTCTCAAAGTTCCAATATTGGTATCGTATCGGACATTAAAAAGTTGTATCGGGACACCCCTATTTCTTGTAGACTGCTTCACGGTTGAGTCTCCAGTCCAGTCTGTTGTCCAGATGAACATGTTGATCATGTTGTCTACTGGATAACATGAAACATTTCCCTATAATTGCTGCACATTTACTGTAATATCATAAATGAAAAGATGTAATCAATAAAATGTTGCAAAGTGATTAGGGTAAATGCTTTCAATCTGTCTTAGAGACAGACAAACAGAGTTTGTGTTAATTAATGAATTGGTTATGCTCAATTTTTYGACCCCAGACTTAAAAACTAGTTCTGCATACAAAATGCTTTTGACCTCATTTTGAAAAATCTATTTTTATATTGAATCTCTTGTTTTGATTTTTCCATGACAAACCAAAATAGAAATAAAAAAGGGTTGGAATGAATAAGGAATTAAAGACAAGCTACCTTCCAAATAGGCTTAACTCCTTGTTTAAAACTTTTATACCATCATGATGATTATAAAACTTTCCTCTAATATTTCAAGATTTTATCTGACAATTTACAACGTGCAGTAATCTTGAGATTTATATGAAATTAATAATCTGGCTGTGAGCCAGAAACTACAGTTGTGATACTCCTCTTTTGGAAAATCTACAACTCCACCAGGAAGAGGAAAATACCCCATTTCCCCTTTTGCCAAATTCTGTCTGCAGCTGGAAACAGATTTCTGCCAGCCACTCAGGCAGCACAAATCATTTTGAGGAAGTACGCTCTGATAAGACTCTAGCTGGCAGCTAAAACAAAAAAAAGAACAAACAATGTTGCAAATTTCACAGTTCAAGAGAGAAGAGTGTCCACCCTGTGACMTGACATATGTTTCTTTTCTCATGAGAAAAGGAAAATAACTTAAACTCGAGATGTTTGCTTGCTGCACGATAAAACTATGGTGATATAATCAGAAATAGAAAAATACAGGAAGGTTAAGTGTCTTCTTGACAGTTCACAAMATTTGCCACAAATATTAGTGTCATTAAAGCAAATATTTGTAGAGAACATCTACATTTTAAGCCCCACTATACAGTGTTAAAGCCCTGACATAGCTGATCATTTCTGGTCTTTTTGCACGGATCTACAGAACTAATGTGATCAATAGAGGGGCCATGTCCTGCTAAGTACAGCACAGAAAATCACTGTTTTAGTGCTGCTTATTGTGCGATTCAGGTCTGCTGTGTTCACTGTACTGTGTCATTTACTAGCTGTGCTCTCATACTAATACACTGCTGTAATGATGCTGTGTCCAGAATTATCTTCAATCATCTAGAACCCCCTAACTCTGTGTAGAACAGCTCGTTTCAAACTGTAACATGAGCCTGCTCTCAGCAGCTCTTATGCAAAAGCATCAACCTTGTTTTATACTCGATGTTTATTTAAAGTGCCATTTTCCAGTCCGCTAGTATTGCACTCAATATGGACCCAACATTCCCCTACATTCTAGACAACTCAGCATGTAAGACATTTAGTCGTTTCTCTTCTTTTGTTTATGACAATCATMACTAAGGAGGATCATAACTAAATAAATGAGGCTCTTTGTAGAGTAAAAAACAAATCCTGGTGGTTGTGGGAACATGAAGCCTCTGCAGGAGTTGCAGACTGAATCAGTTTAGTCCTGATGACCTGTCGCAGGTCCAGAATGGACAAGAAGTAGGGCAGCATGGTAYATGCGGTAGACATGGTATTAAGTTGGCCTATRGTAGAAGTTTACACTCTACTGTCCTGTCGTCAGTTACGTCATCGCACCTGTGTCAACATGGCTGTGAGTGCAGAGACAACTGAGCAGGAGGAGTTCAAAATATTCTGAAAATAAATGAAGAAATATGGTGTTTTAAAACACATATAGAGAGAATAAATCCTCAAAATTTCCCCCTCCCATAGAAAAATTACGTCGGGAAGATGAGCGCGCAGCAGAGCAGCAGCTGATAAGTTCAGCAGGCAGAAGCTCATTGTATGGCAGGCAGATGTTACATTTATTTGGCTTCACCACAATTATATTCTAGTTATTTGAAACTGTTTTACGACAAAACTATGTGCAGCTTAAGCCCCTTAAAGCCTTGTCACACTATAACATTTTAGGCAACTTAGAATTTATTATGTCTAAATTACTTGAAGTACTGGTTTCATTTCAGTTCAATTCAAAAATAACATTTTAACATCCACTTTATTTTGATATTGTTGAAAATTTGAAAAATGTTTTTGTTTGTTGTTCTCCACCCATCAGTTCCTTGTGTCAGAACTGAATWAGGAAAAAAAAGTTCTGCTTTGCAACACCCTCAGCACACAAACTTTTTAAACTCGGGTCTAAGAGTGGAAGTTGTTCATAAACACAATTTTAGATAAAATCAGTTGTGTGCAAACATTACCAACACTCCCTCAAACTATGACAAGATGCAAATACATCCCGACACAGGCGAGTCCTGTTGAGCTTTCATTTGTCTCTTATTTCCATACTTTGGTACAGAAAAAAAATATTCTGTAACACGTCAACAGCTAGTATCAGAGGGATTGGTATTAATCCAGAGTTTTTCTACGTTAGTTCTACTTTTTTCCTGTTTTTTTCCTTTGTTTTAAACCACGTCGAGCATTTTGATAAAGCTATGTAGATATATTTTATTAAAGTTCACTTTTGTTTGTTTTTGTTGGTTAACTGAGCCAAATATACTATAAGGCAGACACAGGTTGTCTATAGACGCAGGCAGTGAGAAAAACAGTGTTAATATAAAGTTTAGCTCATTTACCACAATTCTGCAGCTCTGGATACTCTGGTATGTCAGAGTGTTTATGTTCATGTCAATCAAAAGTTTTGTGTAATTTACTGAGACACAGGAGCTCAAACAGAAGAGGACATGTCAAAAGTTCTCAATTGCATGAATTGTCTATGTCTATGATATATATTTTTTTCCTTTTACTTTCTTATACATTATGCACAGCTACCAACATTAACTGAACATTACTGAATGATTTTGCAKTACAAGTTTGACATTTGTGGAATGATGCCAACTTCTGCACATCATTTGCATTCCCACAATAAAATTTAAGCCCTGATATAYATTTGACAATTCACGTCATCAACACCCATCTATATCTAAAAATACATTTAACATAAGCTGGACAAAACTTTTACATCCCCGTGAATTTCAAGTATTTCATCTCAAACTGACTCAAAGATAAAGTGAGAATCAGCAAGAAACCAGCAACTGACAAACTAAACTACAAGTAACATTTTTAAATATTATGCAATAATATACTGTATTAGCAATGCATTAATTGTGCAATCTATCACCTGCACCAAAGAGATGAAAACTAGAAAGGTAAAGGGATCAATCACTTTCAGCTTGGCTGCTAATTTTAAGTGAAGACATGTTGAAAAAAAGCATCAAATATTAACGCTGTTAACATTTCACACCAACTTTTTTACCATAACTTGTGGTGAAGATATTTAGGATCCATTAGAGCACAACTACATAGACCTGAGGATTATTTTTTTTATTTAATCAGCAACACTGTGAAGTGTAACACTAACACACTGGTCTTTTTTCTACTCCTCTTTGCTCAGACAGTTTGTAGTTATTTTTTATTTCTGAATCAATATCTGAACATTGTGGAGGTCTGAGTTCAGCATTGGTGGTTCATGCTTGATACTGTCCAATCAGGACAGGTAGCTACAAGGCCATTGGCATAGTTATAATTACACTTCTTTGTAAATTAATACTCTGGTACAGTTTGAGGAATGATTAATAGTTGCTCAGCCGAACACTGACAATGTAGTCCAAAAACACACAATTTCTACAAAAAGCTGCAGTTTTTGTGTCTTTGCTGATTATTTTCTGAACCAAAAACCACTGTTTTTGAGAAATAAAATCAATAAATCCACAAAGATATTTTTGACAGTTCACTGCCATGTGGCATTGTCTCAGAGTAACCTTTGACCCCTGCTGTTTCCAGTCTGGTGATGTATGCATTTACATATAACACATTAGCTCCTGACATGATGTCCAAGCCTGTTCAAACACTTAGTAATTTTATTTTCTAAGCAGCCAGAGTGATTCCAACTCATCCATTTAAACAAGATCTGCTCCAAGGGACAGTACGGCAGAATGGGAACAAGGTGATAAAATTTTTGTTGTAAGGGTGATTAAACAATTAAAACCAGAGGAGAAAGAAAAGGTGGAAGCATTCAGAGCAGAAGGCAGATGCTCTGAGGAATGAGCGACACGAGGGAGGAAGTAACATATGCACTGACGTATATCTAAATGTTCAATTGCGTATGCCTGTCTTTACACTACCATGCCTACAGGCTGTCAGACAGGTTACTAAACGCACCTGTACGCCTGCCTCCAGGGCCAACAGGAAATACAACAATGTCAGATGAAAAGAAAACTTCTACATTAGTGTGTTTGGCCTCTTGAGTCCTTACCTGTGTCTGTTCTCATCATGTCCTCCTTGTCCATGTATGATCACCTGTCCCGAACCATGCTTCCCCTCTTTGGGTGAGTCAATGTGTGGGATGAGTACGTCCTCCAATCCCAGGTCAAAGCGCTTGTGCTTGGAATTGTCCGGGAGGAAAAAGAAGGCCCCAAAGCATAACGTGATGAAGGCACTGAGAATAAGGAGGAGGATAAACTTCTCCGACAGCCTCAATGTCGCTCTGTGGTGTGGGAAAGAGGAGGCACCCGGCGACAAAGTGGGTATCCTGCGGCCCGACAGGGGCAGTAGAGCCGGTGTGGTCATGGTCTGACAGCTGAAGCCAAAATAAACTTGGGGGGGGTGGGTTCTACAGGTGCCACAGGTATGGTTGTAGACTATTATCTCATCCCTGCTTTGGTAAGTCCGGAAACAAAACAGGACCAATGAACCTCAGCGTAGAAGTGACCAGTCAGCCATAAAAAGGTCATGACGAATCTGGAAAAAAGGTCACATGACAAACAAAGAGGTTGTGTTACTAGCAAGTCAATGAAACCTAACTGTCAGAAATTTTCTATTATCTGAACAGTGTTTTGTCTAGATCAGTGATTCCCAAACAGGGGTACGCGTATCCCTAGTGGTATGCAAGCATATTACAGGGGGTACGTGGAAAAATCTCTCAGGTGTGTAAAATAATTAAATAAAATAGATTTTCGCAAAAAAAAAATGCAAACTGAATTGTGGAATTGACAAAAYAAAATGGAATCCAGTATAAAATGCAGAATCTCACAGAATTTGCTTCGTTTGGTTTAAGTTTCTGAGGTACTTTGGACAATACAATGTATTTTGGATGCTGCCGCTTCCTGTACCTGCCATTACCTGGTTTATTTCTTTAATTACTTATTCACTTTCAAGGCAATGTATTATTCTTTATATTTGATTTGAGTTGAAAAGAATAAAATGCCTGAGAGTTAAATGTTCAAGTTAAGAGGATTAAATAAACAATTTTCATTTAAAAAGGCACAGTGTGTAGGATTTGTTGTTTTCAGGGACATCAAGTGGTTGAGTGGTTGAATCATCCTCCCTGGTCCTCCCC